AAATATATACTATGTTGTTGTTGAGCTTAGGATTATTCTACAGTAGGTGTCTGTGACTTGTTAGCGATAAAGTCAACGATGAATAAACACCACACACTTTACTTGTTCTAAAATAATATATCTATATTCGGAACAAGTTAAACGTATATACAACAAAGTCTTCACGCTATAGAGATTACAGGCATATCATAAACACTATTTATATATAGTTCTCTTCTTCTTGTCAAAAGTCCACTTAGGCATATTCAATTACTTTAGAATTTCAGTTGACAAGTCGAACTATATTACTATCGTACTATTACTACTACTACTAGTATTCTGTGTGTGATTCACGTACACTACAGTTGTGGCGCAAGTTACCGTGATTCGTTTGGTCTTCTTTCTTCCGAAGATCCTCTGTTCCTTTTGTCAAAGTGTACCTAGGCTGATTCAATTACTTTAGAACTACGCTTTAACGGAATAAAATTATCCTTCTTATATACTCTTAGTTTCACTCTAACATATTAAACGTTAGGCCTATCACCTATGCGGTACTTAACTTCTCACAACTATATTATCTTTCGCCATTATTTGTTTATTGTTGTCTGTCTACTACTTCCTGCTCGTCTCACGCTATTTATATATTTATTACATTATCGCCTGGCCGATTTCTATATTCTCGACACCAATTAGTTATTAACAAAATCTTCTACAGTCGTCTACTTTTAACTCTTATTATAACAAAACTTAAAATATTCACCCAGAAATAAAAATGAATTACTAATATTTAAACCAAACAGTCTTTTATATCATGACAGTCAGTCTTAACCAATCCTTAGAAGTTTTCTTGTTGTTTTTTTTCTATCTGCTGTTGAAATTTTCTGTAAATCATTTGTTATGATTTGTTTAATTATATATAAAAATCATGATTTGTATTCAGTGTTTACTAGTTGATTTTAGGTGGTTTTAGACTCGTTTCCATACAAAAAAAAACACAAAAAAAAACTAGAATGTTTCTTCACAGACATAA